ATTCAAGTTCTAGGTTATTCTTATGCAGATCCAACTTTCTTCGGTAGCAAATATCTCATCGTACCGTTGAACGAGTTGTGGTCCGGATCAACGTAAATAGAAGGGAAATAGCAAGTATTAGTAAGTATTAGTGCGATAGAGGCCGAAAACTTCCTAGGGAATTATGTACATGTCTGGAATCGAGAATAATATAGTGTGGGGAGGGTCTCGCAACCAAATTTCTGGACTCAGCAAAAGGAACAGCAGTATGGGTCTGGCTAACAGGGAAAAATAAGTCCACATTACTGCACAGTGAAAAAGGGAAATATTTAAGCAACCACCTTATTATTGTATTGCAGATGTTGTTTACAATTAGGTGGCGCAATACCGATTGCGGATTACTTAAGATGTGTGGGTTGTGGGCTGTGAACAAGAATGCCGAACCTTTAGTAGTTTGGCTAACTGCGCTAGGAGTTTGATTTTGCAGGGAATTGGTCCAACAGAACGCCAGTGATATGTTTACGAGGTTACAGTAGTCCTGAGTGGCAAACATATCGATGTTGACAATGTGTCGGTTGATTCACCAGCAAGATATGGTCAAGTGAAAACCGAAGCTAAGTGTTGGGGAGCAAGGTGGGTTGAAGATGTAAAGAAAGGATCCGGGTGCTTTACCTACCAAAGCGTCAGTGCTTTCACAAACGAATGGTAGGTGTGCCAGCGGGTGAAACGGAAGTGAAGTTACGATTGGAGACATAGTTAACCGGATTTGGGAGTCCAGCTAACCAAGTTGCCAGTGGTTCAACTGACACATGGTTGCAGTGGAGCCAAGTAAAATCAAGGGGCAGTATAGTGAGCCAAGATGGGATGAAGAGGATAACAGAAGCCTGGACCTCCAACCCATCGATGTATCAGTGGAGCCACTAATCGGCGATGAGCTTTCGGGCAGGCAGATCCGGAGTGGGCAATAGAAGAGAGGGGTAAGCAGGGAATCAACGGGTGTTTGTTGATCTGACTGATACAGTCATTTGCAACTTTCAGTTATATGTTGTCTGGACCTTGTTCATACGTTTGTTGAATAGTTGTAGGGCAGCGCAGGAGCATAATCACATTGCTGACTGTAAGATATTCGTCAAGCTTTCTACGAAAGTTATACTCAGATGTGCTAGTACGAATATCGGTCGGCAATTTGTTCCAAATCCGGGAGTACCGATTTAGGAAAAGTTTGCCAATTTACCTTGAAAAGGTTCCAACGTGGCACTTGAATCATCAGTATTAAAACATATCACTTCAGCACACTGTTGTGTAGCGTTTAGCACTAAGCTGAAACCCTCGAATTCTCTCCAATGTTGCGACGCCTGGTGCGTTCATCACATGGGTTGGTAGGGCGTTCTAGTGGGAGACAGTAAAAATACTCCTTTCAATCCAAACATAACCGTTGCGTCTCTAGTTTCAGGTGATGGACTCGACAATGTTTTTAAGAGGCTGAGGTCAGCCGTGATGCACATGAGTGCTCGATTTAAGTTGCTATCCGGTATGTGAGGACGAGATCCCCTCAAAGCCGTCGGTTTTCTGAGGAGAACACGCCAAGTAAACGAAGGAGTAGTCCGTAACTGAGACCACATGGTCCACGTGTTGCTTGGTAGCTCTTTCTGGGGTTGCTCCAAGTAACCTTTATCCCGTTTTAACCATGGGCGCCATGCCTGAACTGTATATTCAGCATGGAGACGAAGAAATATGCTGATCAACATTGGTACTAGCCGTAGTTCAAAGGTACCGAGAGCTCGCCTCAAAAGCCTCAAGTTCAAGTTCTCCAAATTCGCTGTTTTCGAACATTGGAGCGAATTGCCAGGACTTTCTTGAACGATGATACCTTAACCTCGTTCACTAGTCACATGTTGCAAAGGTTGTTGTCCCAGAAAAAACGTGTTGCTGAAACTACTACTCATCGTCAACAGGTGGCACTTTGCAGGGTTCAGTGGGAACTGATTCCTTTCTGTCCATTCGTTAATCCGGTTCAGATTCTTCTGGAGATAGGCACGGTCGGATGCCAAACGAATTGCTGTCCATGTTTTAGCATTATCTACAAATATCTGCATCGAGAGGTAATTGTTGTAAGCTTAAAACAGTAGGGGGCAGAGGACGGATCCTTGCGGGACACCACTGGAGACGCATGCACTTTCGGAGTGAGTGCTGGCTATTCTTACTTTGATGGTTCTGTCTTGTAGGTAATATTCCAACCAGGTGAGCAGGGAAACGTTGATACCATATGCAGCAAGCTTTTGGAAGCAAACGAAGTGAGTATCCCTGTCGAATGCCATAGAAAAAGCTAGTAGACTACATCTATGGGGGAATCTTACCTCAGTCACTAAGGTGCATGGATCCTGGAAGCAATACCTCTGTTTCCTACTAGATTCCATCCCCAGTAAAGGACCGAGGGAATGTGCGCCACTAACGAACCCCAATAAGGCGAAACGCGCCTGGTGCTTTTCCGGACTAGGCTGTGCAACGTAACTTGTAAGCAGCTGGGACGAAACATTACAATTACAATGAAAACTACTCCTACTGATTAGCAATGAGTAAGTTGCATTGAATTTGGCACGTAAAACGTATGGGTGGTCACCGCCTGCCTAGAAGGGCCTTGTTTTGTTTGCCAGGTCTAAGGTGGCGCAAGACGCGTGCTAAGCAGAAATTAACTTAGTAGCTGGAGATCAAATCGTTCACCATAAAAATACTCCTTTGGTTTCTTCACCTTGCAGGCTGGAGTGTATTAAGAGGACAGCTATTAGACCTTTATTTATTGTGAACGAGCTTGATAGCTATTTTTTACTCTTCCTTTTTTCTATGTCTTGACTTTTGTTTAAAAGTTTCATTTTGTCATTCTGATTGGCCTGTGCCCGTCACGTTCGCTTTACGCTTGGAGTCTAATGATGCTATTTTTAAGGACATATGCGATTCGCTCTTGAGTCCGCGGTTGCTTATTCGCCGTTGCATTTGACGTTTTTCCTTCTGTTAGTTGGCTTCAGTGTACTTTAGTAGCTTTCCTTCATTTTGCCCTCAAAACTACATAAGCAACCGTGATTTCATGTACACAAGTCTCCTTCTGGCTCGTCTTTGGACTTCTTCTTGTGGTCCTGGGCTGAAGGCGTCAGCGGCGACACAACAGAGTACATGTTAACCGCCTTGTGCTTGGTTTGAGAAATTAGACGATTTGATTGGCGGTCATCACCGGTTGCGGATCTACTGCCATCGCCTAGTCGGACTGCCCATGTAACGTGCGTTTAGTTGCGAGTTATCTGCGGGATAATGACAGATTGGGAAGCGGAGTACTGAAGGCACCGAAATGAGACTGTCTTGCCGATGCCACCGTAACTTTCTATGATATGCAGGTTTCTGTGAGGGCTTCTTTTTGACGATGTGCAAGTACCATACCCCTGTATGTTGTTTAGGGCATTAAAGTTTAACGCTGGGTCCTATATCTCTCTCATCTTTTGTTCTTCATTCCGTAGGTCACCCAAATGTACAGCAGCGACATATCAGTTAAAAACCCCGCTGTACTGCTGCTGCTGCTGCTGCTGCTGTTGCTGCTGCTGCTGCTGCTGCTGCTGCTGCTGCTGCTGCTGCTGCTGCTGCTGCTGCTGCTGCTGCTGCTGCTGCTGCTGCTGCTGCTGCTGCTGCTGCTGCTGCTGCTGCTGCTGCTGCTGCTGCTGCTGCTGCTGCTGCTGCTGCTGCTGCTGCTGCTGCTGCTGCTGCTGCTGCTGCTGCTGCTGCTGCTGCTGCTGCTGCTGCTGCTGCTGCTGCTGCTGCTGCTGCTGCTGCTGCTGCTGCTGCTGCTGCTGCTGCTGCTGCTGCTGCTGCTGCTGCTGCTGCTGCTGCTGCTGCTGCTGCTGCTGCTGCTGCTGCTGCTGCTGCTGCTGCTGCTGCTGAGGAGTATGATGAAGAAGCTGATAGTTAAGATGATGAAGCTCACCATGATAATCATGGTGATATTGATTGTGATTGTAGGCGACAGCTTTTCTCGGGGCTTGAGTGACTCGTAAAAATCTCTCGCATCCAGCCAAAAAAGGACGCTGAAACTTTATCTACGGTACTCAACATTGTCCCTGCAGTCCTGAAACAACCGGGTATCCGTACAGTTCCACAATGAAGTAGCTTCAGCGTACTTTCTACCGTACAGCAAGTCCACACAGCACCGATTCAAAGAGAGGGATACGGCGATTCTTTATAAGGTGTACTAACTCTTTTCCCATTGCTTCGCTTAACGGCGCACATGTACATACAATGCGTCAGTAGATTCAAATGGATTGAGGTTAACCCGTCTCGGTGCGAATATGGGATCAAAGACCAACAAAGGCCTGGGTGCCCTCGGGGTTAGTAGCACGGAGTGGGAGTGCACAATCTTCACAGCGGGTTTGGAATAAGAGCAAGTTCATGTCGAGGGGGAAGTTAGAAGAAGCAAGACAAACACTCCTAGGGCCTGTGTACCTTTGTAACTAGTAACACGGGGTGGGAGTGCACAGTCGCCACAGCGGGTATGGAATGAGAGCAAATCCATGCCGAGTTGTAGGACAACTGGGCATGTTACACAGTATAAACGCGATCACATCTTGTAGCGGGGTCAGAATGCAACCACATAGATATAGTTAGGAAAAGAATGAATCGCACAGTAGCCCGTAGGAACATGTATCGGATAAAGTTATTAGGAACAAGTATCAACAAAATGGAGTAAGTTGAAATAAAAACATATAGCTCTGCACAGTCCATCGCATGAGATAGAAAAATAATGGGTTATCCGGGACTTCGGAAGACGGCGCAGATGATGGGGAAATCAGACCATGAGGTTGACATAAAGGTTGCGTATTTCATGGTAATTCGTCCGTCTGCAATGCGGGTGAAGATGAGGAAAAGGTTGGTGTTGTTGTTGAAGAGGATGTTGACGATGAAGACGAGGATGATCAAGATGAGGAGGAGGACGATGACAATGATGAAGATGAGGAGGATGGATGACGATGATGCTGATGAAGATGCATGATGGTGCTGCTGCTGCTGCTGCTGCTGCTGCTGATGATGATGATGATGATGTCGATGATAATGATGATGATGATGATGATGATGATGATGATGATGATGATGATGATGATGATGATGATGATGATGATGATGATGATGATGATGATGATGATGATGATGATGATGATGATGCTGATGATGATGATGATGATGATGATGATGATGATGATGATGATGATGATGATGATGATGATGATGATGATGATGATGATGATGATGATGATGATGATGATGATGATGATGATGATGATGATGATGATGATGATGCTGATGATGATGATGATGATGATGATGATGATGATGATGATGATGATGATGATGATGATGATGATGATGATGATGCTGATGATGATGATGATGATGATGATGATGATGATGATGATGATGATGATGATGATGATGATGATGAATACTGCATACTGGTTCGAAGCAGCGAATAGAGCTTTCTCTGTGTAGCTGCATAATTCGTCGCTCTTGGACATCTACTCCTTATTTGTCGCTCTGTTCTCTATGTTTTGCATCTGCAAAGTTTGTCTAGGAGCTTCTTACATTCCGACGCTGAGTTCGCCTCTACTATCTGCTACGGCAGGTCGTTCAAGACATTCACCACACTGCATTGGAAACAGAGTTGGTGAGCGAACCGCTTCAACTTCGGTACGATAAGTTTATACCGGTGTCCTCGTGTACAGCTTGGTGTGCGCAGATGAAGCAGTTGTCTCAACATGGGGTAATCACTCAAATGTAATTTCCGGTGCGTCATGATGAGGTCAACCCTCAGCCGACGATAAGCTTGGGCGTACAGCCCTACTTTCTTACATCGGTCTTCGTATGGCATACATCGTAAGTTGGGAATCAGCCTGGTGGCTACATGCTGCATTCGCTCAATCTTTTCTACCTAGCCCAGCGTGATGGGACAATACACGGGAGAGCCGTACTCTAACATTGGTCGTATTATAGAGACGAAGAGGCGAGTAGCAAGCTCTTCTGACCAAGTGCTGAAGCTGCTCCTGAGGGCCCAAAGCATCCGAAGTCTGTTTTGGTACAGCCTATTCGTATTGTCAATGGACTTTAGGTCGCCGCGTGAGAGTACACCAAGGTCGCGCACGAAAGACGCGGGATGCAACGGTTGACCAGCCACTGTGTACGTTCGGCAGTGCTTACACTTACCCAACCTCATAAATTGCGACTTGGCAGGGTTGATCGGAAGGTTAACCTCTGCAGGCCATGTCGAGAGGCGGTCGAGGTCCAGCTGAAGTAAATCACAATCATTGAGCATGCGGATTACTCTCCACACCTTCAAATCATCTGCGAACAACGCACAAGGTGATTGTAGTAGCTGAGGCACATCGTTTACATGGATCAGAATTGAAATCGGCCCGATACAGTGCCTTGGGGCACGTCGCTGCTCGATGGATACCAGTCAGTTAGATGGTTATCCACGTGGACCCTCCACTTTCGATCAACAAGGAAATGTCTGATCCATTTGTGCAGCGAACCACCAACACCGCATATCCTCAGCCTGTCAAGGAGCACTGCATGGTTGACCTTGTCAAAAGCCTTACTGAAGTCAATGTAAATGATATCGACCGATTGGCCTTGGTTCAGCGCTTGTAACAATTCGTGCCTTGTCAGCAGCAGGTTAGTGATGCACGAGCGACCTTTCATGAAACCATGCTGTGCGGAGGTCAACAGGTTTTTCGACCCGAGAAGCTGTAGAAGGCTCTTCTTCACCATCTTCTCGAGCGTCTTTGCCAAAACATCGGTCGGACTAATCCGCCGGTAGTTATCCACTTTGCTTGGGTTACCACCTTTCGATATGGGCTTTACGAATGAGCATTTCCAGTAGTCCGGTAACAGTCCAGTGGATAGGGACCTGTTAAACAGTTCAGTTACAGAAGGCGCGATGATGGCCGATAGGGACTTGAGGAGCAGTGGGTGTATACCATCTGTCCCAACAGGCTTCGTCCCGTCAAGATTTCCTAGAAGCATGCGTACATCCTCAATATTGCAGTCAGTGCTGCTAAGTTCGGCTGGAACGGTACTCGTCGCACTCGTTACAGACAACTGGTCACTTACAAATACGGAGGCGAAGTGCGCCGCCAATGTGGACGCATGATATATACTCGAGGTTAGGGGCTGTCCTTCTGAGCCTTCCAACACTAGAACATTAGCTACAGGTCTTATGCGCGAAGATCCACTTGGGGGCAGTTTTTGCGGCGGTTGCAAGCTCCTCTTCGAAGCTTCGGCGTTTTCTTGTTTTCGCCTTGTTGCAACGATTTGGCTGTACCTTGTACGCATTGTAGTCCTCATCAGAGCCAGATAACACGAATTTGTTCCATAGTCTACGTCGCCGTCGGGCCAGTTTGTTATACTCTTTGTCGAACCAATGTGGTTTGACTGGCCCAACTTTCCGAAATTTGTGGGGCACAAATCGGGCGCACAACGAATTCACTCCCTCTTTAATGATAGCCCAACAGGTTTCAATAGATGAATCCTGTGGTAAAGACCAGTCTATCTGGTTCGCTGCTCGATTGAGGCCATTAAAGTAAGCCTTCCAATAGCTGAAGGCTAGCTCCAGTGGGGGAGAATACGGCAGTGGTAGTTCCAACCTGCCTATGATCATCGAGTGGTCGCTCGCTCCCAGAGGCTCTAAGACTTGAATGTTATGCACATGCTGCTCACAGCTAGTCAAAAGCAGGTCTAAGCATGATGCAGTCGCGCGCGCAGTAATGCGTGTCGGTTGGTTGATGTGTTGTGTGGCCCCGGTTACAAATAGCAACTCCGTAAACTTCCTCTCGACTTTACAGTGGCCGGGGAGAAGTTCAGCTTCAGGCCACTGTATTCGGGGCAAGTTGAAATCGCCCATGAGTAGGAACATCGGACGACTCATGTGGTTGCGGACATGCGGCAACCAGTCCAAACTGCGGCTCAGTGGACTGCGATATACCACGCCCACGAGCAACTCGCAGCGTCTGAGGTGAATCGAACAAAATAACTGCGCACGTAGACCATCAGCGCTTTGGTAGGCGCTCACTAGTCTCCCACACAAGACTTTATGTAAAGTAGAACGCCACCGCGATCATTCGATGGTCTATCACAACGGAAGCATGAGTAGCCGGTAATTTCCACTTCTTGGGCGTTTACGTCGGAGTTTAACCATGTCTCAGCAAGGCCTAAAACGTCTGGTCGCTGAGAGCTTACGAAGTCGTACAGCACATCGTGCTTGTTCATCAGACTGCATACGTTAATAAAGGCTACGCGCAGACCGCGGTGGGAACAGTTGGGCGCACCTGAAGCATTAGAAACCTGTTGATCCGGATTCGTGGAGGAATCCGGGCAACTACCCGAAAATTTAAAATACGGAGATTTCGATCTCAATCCTCCGTGCGTAGCTTTATTTTAATCATACCGACTTGAGTTTCTCTCGGTGGATTTTCAGACCAATCAGCATATGATGATGATGATGATGATGATGATGATGATGATGATGATGATGATGATGATGATGATGATGACGATGATGATGATGATGATGATGATGATGATGATGATGATGATGATGATGATGATGATGATGATGATGATGATGATGATGATGATGATGATGATGATGATGATGATGATGATGATGATGATGATGATGATGATGATGATGATGATGATGATGATGATGATGATGATGATGATGATGATGATGATGATGATGATGATGATGATGATGATGATGATGATGATGAAGACGATGATGATGTTGAGGATGATGAGGAGGAGTAGGAGGAGAAGTATGATGTTGCTGATTATTATTATTATTATTATTGTTATTATGTTAATAGCGCCAGTACAATGCAGGGGCATTGGTATTCCATTTGGGTCTAACATCCTTGGATTGCCTCCAGTTCCTGCTGTCGATTAATTTTGAGCCCATCCACCTCTTGCGTTTTGACTGTTGCATTTTTTCTTTTTTCGTTATTGCCGCACAGTGCTGAAGTGTTTAACACCTCTAGCTAAGATGTATTATGATGATTGTGACTCTTCTTTTTTTATCATTAACATTATATTGTCGAAATTTACATCTTTTACTTATCAGAAAAACTGAACACCAGTAACTGGTGAAGTAGAAAGTAACAGTTGCCTCTCATTTTTGGACATGTCGATTAGTTGTAGAGAAACCAACCTCATCTGCTATCCTGTTTACCAAATACAACATGGTACGGGCGGTGCCTGCACTTCACCAGCTTCGCTCTAATGCAGTAGGAGCGGAAGGTAGTCACAGTCTTATTTAATCGGCGAGAAGAATATGCAAAGCTACTAAGGTGAAATGAGAATTGGAGCCGTTAACCAAGATACTATGGAAAACTGCTACCCGCATCAGTTTATTTCGTGACACAAGAAGACAGGAAGATCTCGGGTGCTCAAAACAAGCAGAGAAGGCGAGGAGAACCGGAAATCAGCACTCCGGCCTTCTTCGCAGAGACTTCGGTCTGTTTGAACCCTTAATATTTCCCCAAATGCTTAACGCCTACGTGCAACCTCACGTGGAATATGCTATTCAGGCGTGGCAGCCGTGGCAGAAACAGGATCTGGTTACTCTCGAGACTCCTCAAAAAAGGGCAACCAAGAACGTCAGAGGTCTCTTTAATCTGCCCTATCAGCTTAGATTGACATCTTTAAGAATGTACAGCAGTCGATACCGGCTTTTACGGGCGATCGCAGAATGGTTTAACCAGATTCTGAAGAACCCAAACCACACCTCTGAAACTGACAATTCAGTACAGCTGGCTTGAATGCCGTAGAAATTTCTTTTCTCTCCGCGAGTGTGAGCCTTGTAACGTCCTCCCCAATTATGTCGTCTCTGCTCCTAATCTGCCGATATTTAAAAAAGGTGTTGATGATGCATTGTCTCACTTACATTTCATTTTGTGACTTGTTAGCCAGGGGCTACAAAACGCAATCAAACGGTGTCTTGTCAAACGCCTAACCAATGGATTTATGGATGTATTAGTTTACTACGCGAACATCTCCGTTATTCCCCATAAGTCTATGGTGAGTCCACCACAAAGCTTTTCACTTTATTATGCAATTAATTTTCGCATTAATTTCCATCCCACGGGACTTGTTATGCGATGCTTTTTTACCCGTAATAAACCATTGTTCCATTGCTCAAGTGTGGTACGAGAAGGAATTTCTCAGAGTGGCCATGTAGGTAATTCTTATCCAGGAACCTTTAGCGGTGATTCGTCATCATGAGGACTGTTGGACGCTAACTTTCGCCTTCATAAAACGTATGATACTGGTGAAGTTGTCCTTTTTAACCGGACCAACAAACTGCTTGTTCTACCTTCGGAGGAAGAATAGCGCCTATCTATGCTAACTAACACCGCATTTGTCAGTTCATTGTGGAGTATGCTACATCGGCCAAACGGAAAGGAGCTTTAACTTC